CATTCAGCGCGTTTTTAGTCCCCTCCTCATCTTCACGGGTATGTTGACTGCGGGCATGTCTCTTATTAATCTTTTATTATCTTCTATTAAATTTGTATAAAATCTTTGGTCTAATGTTGAAAGATTAATTCAATTACAATTATTGTAATATAAATAATTATATCCAGTAGTCAAGACATCATAATAATTTAATTACTTTAAAATAATAATAATAACTACGAAAAATTAGTACAGCATCCAAATTTTATAACAATATAAAATTAATTAATCCAATCAAAAAATAATTAAAATATTCCTTTCCAACAGTTTTGAAATTTGGAACGCTGTTATCAATTTTCTATACCGAACCAATTACACTCTCTCACACAACAATCGTTTTCTTTCCGGGGCAGTTGACATTTATTATTTATTCCCGTTCCTCGTATTGGATATCCCAGAATGTTTCCGATGCCGTGACTGCCCGACCAGAAGGAAACCTAAAACGTATCCAAGAGGAATCGGTTGCTACATTCTCACGAGGCAACATGTCAAATAACACCATAATTGAAATTCCCGGATTCTACTTCAATAAAATAAATAGAGAAATGCCGGAAATTCGGGCAGCCTTGTAACAGAGATTCTGAAAAGAGAATTGTTTGTTTTTATCCATTTTTTTTTTCTATTTACAAGATTGTATTTACTTGAATTGTATTTTATTTGTTACATTCTTCACTATGTATATCTTTTCCCCTCTTAATTTATGTCGTGGCATATAGTTTACAATGTATTCTAGATGTATTGTAGTTATGATTAATTAGTTTAATTTCGTTTAATGAGAAATTTTTAAAGTTAATAATAAAGTTCTATTGCATAAAATATAGACATCAAAGCAAGGTCAATCTAAAAATATCCTTAATGATTTACAATTTAATTATTTAAATTAGTGATATTTACTTGTTATGATGTATCCAACCACTGTATAATATTTATGTTGAAATCTCCAATTAGAAGGTTATGTAACATTATATTATTATATATTTTCCATTATGTCTAAAAATTTCTGCTATCACTATCATTTATATTATTTCTCTTCTTATTTTTTATATATTACTAATAATGTTGTCAAAATAAAATTTCAATGTTGTAATGATATTAGCATTTTGAATAATACCCTTTACAAAGAAGACAAAACGATGAACATTTCCCTCTCTTACAGTATACAGATCCGATTTGTATCTGAAATATTTCAATTCATATATTCAACTAACCTCGTTATCGTTTAGTTTTCGATACTATTTTTTTCCTTTTCGATTCCATAACACGGCGTCGCGTTAAGATACAATTTTGAATAATAGCTTATTAGAGAGAGGATGAAATGTTGAACAATTTCCTCGCATATGGAGGCCCGATTTTTAGTTTCTGAGATATTTTAAACCGTATGTAAAAACATTTCAATTAGTTGACCATATCCGAGCGTTGAAATCTGACAGATCGATCTAATTCATTCTCCACAAAAAAGTGCAAAACGCGAATAAAGTAGTTTTCACTTAAAAAAAAAAAAAGTATATACATGAATTTTACATTAAGCAGACGTGATATTGTGCATTTGGAAAATGGAATTTTGGGAATGAGGAAAATAACCAGCAGCATCTTTTCCTGGTCTTTATTTAGTTCCGCAATATAGGAAAGGAGATCTCCTTTTCAGTAGCTTCCTTTGGAGGATGTCAGTTGTGTCCATGTCATTTATAAGTCTACTATTGTGTCCGTGTAGTTTAATATGAAATTGGGAGTAAATATGATGTATGTGATGATCTGTAATTGTTAACGTACCAAGAAGGGAAGGTTACGTACTTGGTAAATCTACATGATTTAATCAAATTATCACAACCTTACTTCATAAATACTCATTCCTTTAAATTTCTTAACCAATTTTTATTTTTTCCTTTTCCTTTTTGTTAATGTATGAAATAGCAATGTTTTGAAGGACAGTCATTACAAATCTAACACAAGTTTTTGGAAGATAACTTCCATATCAAATATATTAAAGGTGTTATTTCTGTGCCTAGGAACGATTGCTGTTGTCTGTCCTACCGCGACACGTCGCCATGGAGATGAAGGCAGATATCGCTGGAAAGCCGCAGGATACCATGTTTCACAAGATATACATTCAGCGACACGAGAATGTTAGGTATGTATCAAAAAACATTTAAAAGCAAAGAAACCATTTAGTTTATCTCTATATTAGCTTACATCCAGTCATTCCAACCAAACGTATTGATAAATATAGTCGATGCTCTTCATATCATTATCTTTAAGATCTACTGATAAAATATAATAATAATATATACTTTTTGTTAGCTTTACAGACCTTGTTATTTTTTGCCACCTTAACAAGCCTGCTCCATCTCTGCCTGTCTTGGGCTATTTCTTTCCAGTTATCTTCATGCACCTCTATAGCATCTTTGTTGATTCCATCTATCCATCTGGTTTTTTGCCTTTCGTATGGTATTTTGCCTTCCATTGAGGCATTAATTGTTATGTAGAGTCTTCCAGATTGGTGTTGGTCTTGCACTTTGCAAGACCAAGACCAAGGCCGCCTAACTGTTGCAAGACCTATATGTGCCGCCTAACTTTTGCAAGACATATATATGTGTGTATAGGAAAGATCCAAAGCTTAAAATTCCAATCTAAACATAAGTCGCCGTTTTCATTCCTCCCTCTCACCCGAGGTACAATATAAATGAATTAGTTCCAGGAAAAGGGGATTCAAAATGGAGATAAGCGAGCCATTTCAGTTTTTTATTTATTTATACAATTTTTTTTTTTATCACTTACACTTATCCGTAAGTTTATTGTGATTTCAGTGACAAAATATTAATGTCAAGAACATGCACACTAAAAGGTATTTCCTATAATGCTGGTAAATAATTGATAATAATACGTCATTTATATATGCACAACATAAAGATTTTCATTAAAAAAAATTTAATTACCTTAATCATCACAATGGCAAACATACATTTACTCTTCAAAAAAACACCTGCCCTCCAGTTTACATTGACAACAATCAAATTTCTCGAACGGACACGGTACTTTACCTTGGATCATCTTCGACAGAACGTAAGACACTTAACAAACGACTCAAACTACTTTACTCTCTTTTATCTAAATCTTCAAAACTAAAACAGAAACTGAATACATATACATACTTACTTAAGCCCATATGGACATACTCATCACAAATATACGGCATCGCTAAAAAGACACACCTACAAAAACTTCAAACGTTCCAATCAAAATTATTGCGACTCATAACAAAAGCACCTTGGTACGTGACTAACAAAACTCTACATACTGACCTCCACTTTCCAACAGTTGACCAACATATAACGACCCTTTATCAACGATTTTACACAAATTTAAATGTACATAATAACAGACTTATAAGAGACATGGCCACAGCTGACATACCTCAGAACATGAGGAGGAGACTAAAAAGGCGTTGGATGAGGGATCTCCTTCCTTAAACAACCTAAGTAATTGGAACAAGTTAGGGAAGAGGTACTGCTGAGTACTTTCCTTCCCCATGCCTGTCATGTCATTATTTCATGTATCGCCATCACATTTGCTGATTGTCAACAATAAGTTGACAGGCGCAAATACATTTTTTATAGACAAAAAAAATTACCTTATCCCGAACTTGAAGTTTCAAATGCCGTTTCTAAAACAAAATAACTTATTTTGATATAGAATAGTTAATTGTCATGTATATATATATCGCTCAGAGATGTACTTTCCTCTCATATTTTTCAGATCTCTTACAGATCATCCAGATAGATTCTAAATGAATTTATTTATTAAAAATGTTGGGCCTTTTATGAAGGCAACTGCAATCTTTATTATAAAACGGGTTTAGTCCGTGATTAAAATTTCAATTAATTTTTTCTAAAGGTATTTTCAAACGCGCCTTTTACTATTGAACCCGAAGAGCCTTGTTCAATTATTATTGATGTCCTTCCCGTTCTAAATCTACTTCTTTACATCTATAGTTAGCGATGGAGTTGATTAAGGTATATTGATTTACATCCTGAAAGGAAAAAATGTTAAAACCTGTAGCCATTTTTGAATCATTAAAAAAAATTAATAATGAGAAAAATATATTTTTTTATTATTTTCTATCCTTTATGCTCCTTAATCACAATGGATATATTTACCAGTATGTTATATTGGTTAAAAATATAAAGTCGTATTTCTATATATATTTTTTTTTGTTTTGCGTATGTTTCGCTAAGTTGACTAATATGAATTTTCTCAAACTATTTAAGATATATATTTTAGAATTAAGTTGTGAATTTTATGAAGACATTTATATACATTTGCCATTGAATTTCTAAGGTATTTCATCATACCTCCTTCATACTAAAGGGACATAGATTACGAAGAGTTTTATTTTACTTTAAATGTTTTTTATTTTTTGTTTTTTTTTTATTATTTCTTAATGATATTTACAACTGTATTAAATAAATACATCTAGTAAATTTGAACAGATGGATATGTCTACATAAGGAGATCACGGGACCATCTTCTTTTCAGACCCCTTGGAGGGTTATCAGGAATTGAAGAGGAAGCAAGGTTAGAAACGAGAGGGTTGGGATGATTCTGAAGTTTATTATGGAAGGATAGGCATCTGGATTGGGCCAGATCTGAAACAAGAGAAACATTAGGTCATTATGGATGGTTTTATTTGTAACAAAGTAGGGAGCATCGAGGATTTTGGATTATAAGGATTGGATACGAGAGGAATTCAATGGTTTAGTGGCGTCCCATAGCTCAACTCCGTAAGTCCAAAAAGGCCTTATTATAGTCATGTATATGAGTCTTTTGAAATTAATTGGAAGTTTAGAGCGTTTGTCTAGTAAGTGCTGAAGTAATCGGAAATGTTGAGAGGTTATATACTTTAAATGTAAAACATAAATATAGATATTTTTATATGATACAATAAATTTGTATATTGTTACAGTATCTTGTTCGCGGACATATGCGGCTTTACCAGTCTGTCGGATCAGTGCACCGCACAGGAACTTGTACGATTACTCAATGAATTATTTGCCAGGTAAGTTGTAGATAATTAATAAATAATTAATATAAATTCATTATTCTTAAAATAATTTGAACATAAAAAAATGTAAGATAATGTTATTTAACAAATATAAATATGATTAGTAAATTATTTCATTTTTTTAAAACTATACTTTTTTTAATGGACAATTTTGGTTAAAAGACTTAAAAAGAAAAATTAATATTTCAAGGATTTTAAAAATATCTTTCGGAAATTAATATTAAATAGCTCTGATATATGTAATCTTAAACTATACCCCTGTCATAGCTCAGTACGGCAAAACCAGCATGACTAAACGGTCTTGCAGGACAAACGGAACGGCGGGCCTTAACTCAAAGCCAATATTACTGCTATAAATTATATCAATATTAATATTATTAAAATTGTAATATAAGAAATTGTTTTTAATATATTGAGTAATATAACAATTTGTCACATTAATAGTGGGTATAGAAAGGTAAGATTACATTCATAATATATATATATATATATATATATATATATATATATATATATATATATATATATATATATATATTATATATATATATATATATATATATATATATATATATATATATATATAAAGAGAGAGAGAGAGAGAGAGAGAGAGAGAGAGAGAGAATGCAAAATATTAATTAAATAATAATCAATAATTAGTTAAAGATAATTAAATTGAAAAAAAAAGCACAGACATACCTTCATAAACTATTTACAATCAGGCATGGGAACTCCAAGCCAGGCTTGTCTCTCCAACTATAGAGGGAAAAGCAGGACACCATGAGATACCCCCTCTGGTGCTAAAGCCAGTGGAGATTGAGAGCATTTCGCTATATCAGCCACATACACATACACTCATGTGTTGAGAGGAGAATCTGGTTATTCTCTTCTGTTCTGTAGTCAGATAGTAGATAGTTCTGCCACAAATACTGTTACAAAAGTTGAATTTTGTTTACATCCTTGGATATTATTTAGATAATCCTTACCTCTATCAGGTTATTTTCATTACATGTCAGGATAACAATCCCAATTAGCTTGCCTTTTTCATTCGCAAAGTTAACATGGAGTGGGATGGTAAAGAAAACCGAATAGCTGTGATCGCCTTACACAAACTTGGCATATGAAGGTCAGAAATTTTTAACACTTTGAAACCTTTGTGTTAACCTATAAATGAACCTATAAATAGATAAAATGAGACCCTATCTGTATGTAACAGACCTCGACCGGGCCGTCAAATGCAGTGAGAGATGTGGTTGCTCGAATCAGAAGAAATCCCATTCGAAAACAACAAATCATGTCTCGGGAAATGAAAATCTCTGTCAGATCAATGACAGGACATAGGCTAATTACTTCACTAAAAAAAAGTTAAGGTGGATATCGAATGGTCTTTGGTCCGAACTGGAAAGGATGGCATGCCACAGAGCATATCTTACCTTGGAAAGCCTCAAACAATCTTTGGTCCGAGCAGTTGAGCGCTTTCCTCAAGATGTGCTGCGTGCTGCTGTTGATGACTGGCCACGGAGATAAAATGTCTGTGTCAAAGCAAAAGTGAAACTAATTTCTTTTTTGTTTTACGCTCTATAGATATACATTTTATTTTCTAATAAAGTTTTTGAAAAAAATCAATTTTTTCGTTGAAATCCGTATATATTTCCTTGCAACAATATTTGTGATAGGACTAGATATTGTGTAATATCACTGCTTTCATTTTTATTCATTAGATATTTGATTATTCCTTCGTAAAATAATTTACATAGGATATCTATCCTTAAATCTAAGGATATGTTGTACTATTTGACGAATGTGGTTATTATTCTCCAGCAGATGTAAATAAGGAGATCATGGTGAACTAAAGTTGGCGCTTTATTACCAAATGGTGTAATGATGCAGATGGCCGTGAATTAAAGAAGCAATGATTATGTCATGATGTGAAGAAATAGAGCTGTCCCTATTGCTTCTAATTACGAAATAATTCCAAAATATTTGATCACATGAAATGTTTTCAAAAGGGAGGCCCAAGTACAGACATTTATTCAAATATTCTATAAAAATATTATAATTATAATAACCTATATATCGATAAAAATAAGAGAGAAGAATAGTTACGGAAGGTAAATTATTAAACTGGCGACTCACACACTTCATAACCCGCTATCTCACTCAGCCAGGTATTAGTTCCAGTTGGATGATGTTTATAGAAAAATTCAACATTCCTATCAGAAAATTTTTCTTGGAAGAATATACTACGTTATTATTATTATTTAAAACAGTTGATTTTTCTCTCCAAATGTGCTGTAAATATTATGTAAAATTACGTATATGAAAAGCAATATTTCAGATAAACAGTAGCTTTCCATCACAAAGCAAAATGGCCTAATGGCGATTACGTCACTGTTGTATTAAAAAGCAAAAAAAAAAAAAAGTTGAACAGAGATAGAGGATGGACGAATGTTACAGGGTACCGAAGCAAATCGGTCCGGATTATGTGTCATTCTGATTACCAATCGTTATGCCTGCTTCCCCTCTGTAAAAGGATCATCAGTTATTTTTCTTCCCGTCCTCTCAGTATTGGGGAAAATATAATGAAGCAGTAATTCACGTCAGTAAAATAACGAGTTTTTTTTTTTTGGTCTATATAAACTACTAATTTAATAGTTTGCGGTGCAGTATATCCCAAATTTTCTCAGTAAGGCAGTATTGATCAATTCAATTACCCGAAATCGGAAAATAAATAATAATAATGATAAAGTCCATAAACTTTTTTTCAATATATTAGTACGCATTTGTCGAGAGTTTATTTAATCAATTACATAAATACATATGTAAAATAATGATAATTAAACAGGAGACGGGAAAAACTTAGCCAGCAATAACTCTTCTCTGGCTTGATTCAATTATTTTGGATCGTTCTGGAACAGAAAAAAAAATGGTTTTCTGCTTTAGATATTTTAAACATGAAGGTTTTGTGGTGAGTTGAATTATAATACATGATTACCTCATTCTAAAATATCATATGAAGGTATTTTACATAATAATTTAAACTTTTTAAAAACTTATATGACCAATAAGTATAAATAATAATATTCATATATTCCGTTTAATTCACTTCATAATTTATTCCATGTTAAACCACATATTAAAAAAAATAAATATTTTACATTTCGGGTTTGAAAATGTTTTATTAATTAGTTCTTTCACCATATAATTTTTTTTAAGGATCATTTCATTAAAAACCATCAGAGGCCCTTAACTTCTGCGCTCTCAAATTTAAATAAATGTTGATATATTAGTTATAACAAATAATTTAGTTTAAAATAAAATTAATTTTTTCCTGTAGTAGTTTTTAATAGAAATTTTAAAAAATTGCGCCGACAGCCAAATTTGCCTAAGTTTTTTCGATCTCAAAAACAGTTGAATTAGCAGTTTAGATTGACCTAACAAAATGTTTGCTATGGTGTTACTAATTCATAAAATTTTCCTATTTAATCAAATGTATTTTTCTTAAAAACAAATTTATTTTTTGAGATTTTCTAAATTATAACTTAGAAATAGAAAATAAATAAGAAAAATATCTTCAAAATCGGTTGCCAATCAATTTGTATTTTTGTGATCGAATAAACTTGGGGAAATTTAGCATTTGGCTTATTTTTTTTTAATTTCTGTTAAAAAACTACACCAGAAAAAAATTAAATTTATTTCAAACTAAATAATTTGTTATATAAAATAATATATCAAAATGTCTTTAAATTGGAGAGCGCAGAAGTCAAGGACCTCTGATGATTTTAAATTAAACGGTCCTAAAAAAACAAAAAATGATATGGGGAAAGAAGTAATTAATTAAAAATGTTCATACTCGAAATGTAAAATATTTTTTTCCAAACCTATTGAACAAAATAACAGAACACCGATTTATTTGTCGTCAACTTAAAAAATAAATATATATAACATTTTTTTATCGCAATCGGTGACAGATACACCCCTTTTGTAAGGCAGAGCTCGAGCATCTTTAATATACATCCTCTACATTTACATTCGTATTTGGTATATATCAATTAGAAAGTGTTATTTGTGTCTCCGATGGTACATATAGTGAAAACTGTGTCGAATTGCAGCATTCTACAATATTTCAATGGTAAATAAATTTAGAGTTTAAAATGAATAGCTCCTATCTTTGCGCTAAATCCAATAGAAAATCTCTGGGATTAGCTTGGAAGCTGCGGGGAAGAATTAACTTCCCTGATAACTTATAGGAGCAACAACTAAGATCAACTTTAGCCAAGACTTGTGAGGAAAAGCACAAGATATAGTGGACCTTATTAGAAGTAATCCCTAGGAAAGTTTAAACTAAATAATAAAATTATATTTGTTATGTGTATATATTATGTAGCTTTTTTTAATAAAATAGTATCATCTATTTCAGTACGACGCAACAAAATTTGCTCTTTTGATTATAGTCGGCCCTAAAGTCGGACTTAAAATGGCTTCCGTCAAAGAAGTTCGGTAACTTCGTTAAAAATGAGGAACGAATGAATGGAATGTCTTTTATGAATGAAAGCCCTTAAATAGGAAGCTGGTCTTTCCCTCTCAAATTGCTTCTTTAAGTCAGGCTCTGCTTTTGATCCAAGTTGGGTCACACCTCTACCAGCGACCAGCAGAGGATCAATAATACTCTTCTTACAATAAAATGAATTGCCACCAGCTACAAGTTCAACACCAAGTTTAGACTATTTATATCAGTATTGAGCTCACTAAAAAGCATTCTTGGTCATAACATTTTAGAAATTAGTGAAAACGTAAAAAAAAATGCCGGTTAGAGGAATAAATACATTTTTTATTATTATTTTCTATAATATTGCAATGCATACACCTCGTAATAAAATTAATAACAATTACAGCTAAAACTAGTCTATAATGCTTTTAGGATTGATGATGAGCGAAATCGTAGAAGGTAATAATTAATGAACTGACCAGCCAACATCTAAGGAATAGAACAA